TCTGGTGACAGCAGGGCCTTTTGAATAGCTCCAGAACTAGCCTGGGGATTCGAGTTGGGCAGATGGACTAGGGAAGTCCAGTTGTTGCCAGGTAAGTCTGGGAGAACAAGCAGCTCTACCTGTAGACAGTCACAATGAAGAGCCCTGGGTGCAAGATCCCACGGGAGCTGAGGTGAGGGGAGCAGGTCCGCATTCTGTGTCCTGGAATGCTTCCCAAGACAGGCACCTCTAATGTCTTTGCAAGCTGCCAGTGGTTTGGTGGTACACAAGGGGAAAGATGTTCCAGCAAAGGCACACAGACAAGCAGATAGGATAAGCGTAAGAGAATGTGTGGGAGAATGAACGGGTGGTGGGGCTGGTGGGATCCAGGAACCAACCACCAAAGCCCCTGCCATTATGTCCCACGCGGTAATCCTGCTGCCCAGAGCCAATTTAGAGACCAGAAAGTCCATAGTCATGTCATGCATCCTCTCCTGGGTCACACGCCTCTTCCTGGAGACAGGGTCCTAGGACTGAGGATGCCTCTTCCCCTGAGGGGCCAAGCTGGGGAGGTTTTCTCAGCGCCTGGCAGGGGGACCCAAGGTTGGCAGAACCAGTGTGGGAGAGTGGTGCCAGCCTCCCTGAGCCTTGGTCCCACTTGTGTGTGTGTGTGTGGGGGGGGGATTTCTCCTGCCTTCCTTGAGAGCAGAGCCATAACCACACTTTAAATTACAACTCACCACATACACACACACACACACACACACACACACGCCCCATACACAGAAAAAGTGTTTCTCAAAACCTACTTTTGCCTTGTGCAAGGCACTAATATTTTCTATCCGGTTCTATTTTTTATTTTTGATGATGGTTTCAACCCACAAAACTGCTTAATTTATGGCCATTGAGTGAGACGGGCCTGCCTTTGGGAAACAGCACCCTGGAAAGTGAGCTGTCCTTCTCCAGCACAGACCCCACTTCCTGAAACAGAAGCATCAGAGTCCCGGAGCCCTGGGGAGGTGGCAGGTGGGGTTGGCCAGCTCAGGGCTCCCACAGGCTGTGGTGCTCCAGCTACTGGAGGCACTGAGCCGGGGCAGCACCAGCAGGGCAGAAGGGTGCAGGGTAGGAGTCTCCGAGCACTGGGTTCAAATTCAGCCTCCACTATTTATTTGCTGTTGTGACCTTGGATAAGTGATTTAACTATTGAGCCTGGAATACCTGTATTATAAATTCTCTCCCTCTGGCAAAGTTGCTGTGAGGATTCAGGACTATGTCCTTAGTGGCCCCAGCAGAACTCTCGGAATATCTGTGGAGCGGGCAGGGGAGGGGGAGGGATGGTACAACCACTGTACCTTCCTGAATTCCCAGGTTATCACTGGTTTCCCAAACTGGATCCTGAGGCTCCTCCGCAGGCTGAGGCCTGGGGACTCTGCATGCACCAGGTACTCCTTCCCGCACACCCTGCTTTTGCTACACGCAGATGTGTAGGTCCTTGGGTCCCATGCTCCCTCCCATCTGTCTGGCCAGCCCAGCTGGGCCCACCAAGCACCTTTCAGCATGGCTGGGGTCTGCCGTCCTCCACCCCCAACTCTGAGTTCCTCAATGGCAAAGTGAGGTCAAATAATGCCAAGGGGCATGTGTGTGTGTGTTCGGGGCATGTAAAATCCTTGGACACTTGTCCTCTGGGCTCCAGCCCCACTATGGCTCTGGTTACCTTGTGACCCGGTGGATGTCACCAGTCCAGAACCTGCCTCGTGGAGGTGGCCTTGCCACACAGGCCATGGCATCCCTGAGGTGGCGCAGTGGGCCTAGTGCCCTCTCCAAGCAGCTGCATTCAGACCATGGCAGGATGGGCCTGCCAAAGGCTAGAAGGTGGTGGAGCAGTCTTGGCCCCCAAGTCTCCTGCAGCGTGTCTGGGAGGGTGCAGCTGGCACAGAGCCATTGAGTGTAGAGTCAGCCGGCCCCCTGCTGCCTGCCTCAGGATGTAGAGACAGCCTGACCTGCTGTCCCGACTTGCAGAAGGCACCAGTGTCCCAGCGTCCCAGCAAAGTGGATTCTATAGAACAGGGGGTGCGGGCGGCCGAATCAGGGCAGAACCTGCAGAGGGCAGTTGCTGTGTACACAGTCACATCCTGGTCCCAGGGCCCACAACAGACCTCAGGCCTCCCAGGACACTGAGGACATGTGCTCTCAATCCTGCTGGTGGCTTCCGAAATCGCTCCCCGCACACACACACCAGCGATATTGACATGCGGCAAAGTTATTGACACTTAATGTTCCGTGCAGTACCAATGTCTGGTGCCTTCTGTAAACCTTGGTGTGAAGGGGGAACCATAGACCAGATAAAGTGAAAACCCTCAGCTCTGCACATGGCTGTTTCTTTTCTGTGCCTGAGTGTGGGTGTCCTTGTGTGAGTCTCTACTCATTTTATAAAACCCCTCTTGAGTGCACCTCCTAAGCCTCCTGACCATTAATCACTCACCACTCCCTTGGCTGTCCCTGCCAGGCAACACCAGGCACCAGCTCCTCCCGTCCTACCCGTGTTAGGATGTGTGTGTGCCTGCCCCGGACTGCAGCCTACTGGGGTGAGCGGGTCTTTCTCACATCCGGAAGCCCTTGCTTGGCACTGGTCAGGCCCCTGGGTAATAAATCAAGTTCTGAGGAAGAAGGTTCTGACCGTCCAGTGCCCAAGACAGGGTTGGAACACACTTTCTGGGTCAGCAGCTCCCCGGGCAGAGTGGACGATGATCTCAGACAAAGGCCAGGGGAACTAAAGCCCCCTCCCTCCTCCCTAGGCAGGGCCTTTGGTCTCAGTTTATCCCAGGGAGGAACTGAGATGGCTCAAAGTGGCGCTTTTGCCTCCTTGGAAGGAGATCACTGTCCAGAGGCTGGAGAGCCCCCACTGCTACCCTGGGTGCCTCCCTCCCTTCCCCCTAACAATAAGCCTTTCCTGGCATGGGGTTGGGGGAACTGCAGTGGGAAGAGTGGGCCCCAAGCCAGTTGGCAGAGTACCACACCCTGTCATTGCCATCGAATGTGGTTCCCCATCTTTATAAAATGAAGACAACGTGCAGGACACACCTGGCAGGACGATTTTAACAACTAAATGAGATATGTCAAGAGCCTTGCCCGCACCTGGTGGGCAATAGAGGCAGATGTTGGATGCTCCTGACACCTTTTCCTGTCCTCTCCCAGCTGAGCACCCGCCCCCCACTCCTGCTTCTTCCCAGCTGCAAAGGCGAGCTGTCCTTGTCATACGGAGAACGAAAGTGTCTTGGGCCCCTAGAAGCTTTCGGCAATGTGAAATTTCTCTAGTTTTTGTGATCCTGCTGCCAGGAATTGGGGTACAGGAGCTGCCAGGTTTCTCCACATGTGTAGATTCCTGCCGTAGGGCTACCTCTTCACTCGGGGTGCCCCAGGGCCCTCTTCACAGCCTCTGGCCCTCTGCTCACCTGCCAAACCCTCCTGATTCCTCCTTTACTCCTACCAATCAGCCCCAGACCCCTGAGCACTCCCTCACCCCAGCTTCCAGGTGCATAATGAAGGGAGGGGCTTTAACTGGCTCCTGTTGCCAAGGCCCTGGGCCAGAGAACACTAGCACCCCCTCTCCATCCACATTCCCCCCTTTGCATGTTCAGAGTTGTATCCTCACACCCCCATCACCTTTTCCTCAGCCACACCTCCCTCAAGGTCCTCCTTGCCTGATGAAAGCTGCCCTTGACATCATTTAAGGGCTGTGTTGAGGGCTGCGTTGTTTTGGTTTGGGGTGGCTGTCCTTTTCCCCACAGCTGGAACCCTGGCAAGTTCTAAAGAGCCCTGAGTTGCTGACTCCACTCCTCTGTTGCACCTGTTCTCCCTCCTAATCATAAGCCTGGCCTGGGGCTCCTCCCCCTACCAAAGGACCTTCTGGGGGCTCTGCCTCTCATACCATCTGTAACCCTAACCCTAGGCCTCCCAGCTTTCCCCTCAGGCACAGCCACCGCCAGGCCTGCAGAGTCCCTCCCCAGCCCCGTCCCAGTCTGGTGCAAGTCAAGTGAGTGTCTCAGCTCAGAACTGAGCAACTCAGAATGGGAAAAGCTTCGGCTTGGATTTTTAATAATTTAAAACTGACACATACCATCCACTCCCTGCTGCTCACCTCCTGTCTCCAAGCTGGACAGGAGAACTAAGACAAAGGCCCTCACAGGCCAGGCCATAGCAATGCCCACCTCCACCCGGGCAGGGGCAGAGGGCAGGGACAGAGAGCAGGGCGGTGGTGGGGCTGAGCTGGATCTTGGCCACCACAGCTGCATTTCCCTGAAGTTGGTCTTGGTTTCCTTTTTTTTTTACTTCAGCTTTATACATCATAAAAACTCCCTAGAAATTTTTAGTATTCTGGCTGCCAGATAACATCTCCCAGATATTCTCACACCCAAACAGGGCATGAAACTCTTTTGTCAGACCACACATTTCACATTCCGATTTGGGGTTGGGAACAGATATGTGGTCAATGGCGGTAAGGCTGTTACTCTAGGACACTTGCCCATCCCTGGATAAAGGGCAGAGGTGATGAGTGGGAGGGAGGAGGGACATGGCCGAGAACCAGGACGGCTCACGGCCAACACGGCCAAGCACTTAATCTTTGGTTCTGGAGTGCTGGGAACTAGGGGAGCTTTTGACAGGGACCAGTACCTGGAGCGGAGGCCGCACTCAGGGACCCAGTGAAGGACCCACCGAAGCCCTCTCATCCCCTTGCCAACAGACGTGCAAGTTGCTGTAGATGCTCTCTGCCATGGCAGACCTGCAAACCCGTATTTTCCTCCTCCAGTTCTGCATAAGTGACCTTAAACAAAACATACAACCAAGCTCCTTGCCTCCCCCAGAGGAGTTAGTCACGTAAGCCTTGCCACAGCCCAAGGGCATGGATGACACCATAATCTGTGTGTCTGCCACAAAGCAGCACTGTGCCGCTCACTCCTAGCTATCCCCTGGGGTGCTTCAGAGCTTCTAAGGGGTGACACTGAGGGCACAGCACTTCTGGGTCACCGTGGGGCAGGCCTCTGCCTCAGGACACGGACAGACAAGCTCTCCGAGTGGGCCAGGAGCTCCTTAATGTGAGCCAAGCCCAGCCCTGCCACCTTCGCCCCGTTCACTTCGAGGATCTCGTCGCCCACCCCCAGCAGCCCGGAGTACAGCTTGGCCGTGCTCACGTCGGCCATCTCCTGCACGTAGATCCCTGCAAAGGAACACAGGAGAACTGAGTACATGAAACCCAATCAGAGACATGCATCTGAGCACAGAGGTGCTGCCTGTGTGGGGCAGGAGGGAGTGCTCGTGTGGGGCACTTCTGCACA